ATGGTCATTTAATGGAGATACTTTTCTAATTGCGGTCGCCCCTCAGCAGGAAATATCAAATCCTCCGAGTGTATTTCTGACATGAAATAAAGTTCCTGCGGCTTAGTAAAAATTGTAGGTCTCTCCATTTGTTGGAAAAATATCAAGACGCAAAACCACAAATTGAAGGAGGAGCTCGGCGGATAATCGCTTCGTGCTGCTGAAGGCTACTTTAAACGCGGCAAAGTGTGGGTTGCGGATTTCGCAGAGCACACTTAGTTTCCAGTCGTCCGGGATATTTTCTCCCGACCATATTTTGCAAAGAATGTGATCCAATCAGCTTCTCAGTTCTTCGCCGTCGTATTTGAATATCTCAGTTGGCAAACGGCCGATCGCTTGAGTTTCAAAAGAACGATTGTTATTAGAACACCTTCTTTGTCATTGACTAGAGAACAGGGTACGCCATCTCTTTTGCACTGCCATACAGCAGACTGGAGAAGTAAATTGGGTTGTAGTCAAGCCTCTGGGCATGCAGTTTAAGTCGCGGGGCTATACTCAATTCCTACTCCCCCTTCCTTGCGTCCACGTCATGCACTCTGACTCGCGGCCGAAAGAGAGAAAGTTTCAGTTGAGCCACTCCGACATATTCAGTTGCAGGGTTCGCTGTAGTTTAATTGCAACATCTGTTCAGGGGTGCGGTTGTAAGCGATCATCGGTCTTTAATCAAGCGGCTCGCTATATAAATATTGTGCACTGGTTTTTGGAACCACTGTACAGAAACAAGCTACAATGAAGAAAATAATATGGGTCCTGCATAGACTAAACTGTCTACGACCGCGAAGTTATGTCTGTCAACAGTGATGGCTTCTACATCTATCTGCGTTCGATATAGTCTTGAGAAATCAAAGCTAAAGTTTGTTGAGACTGAGCTAACAACGCATGTCAAAGAGTTGAGAGGAAACTAACATACACATCTGCAATATTTCTTTTTAAATATTTTGCCTCTCTTGTAGTTATAGACTTGCATGCGTGCCTTTGGAAAAATTCTTGGTTAAAAATATTCCCATCATTTTGACTGCAACTTCGCGAAACTTTATTTTCTCTAACAACCGAAACGTGACATCACTTAAGTTGCAAGCAGAAGTTATTTTCTTATTATTACTTTTCCATGGCAAGCATTTCCAAGCGGCAATATAGAGGCGAGAGATAGAGAGCGGGAGCGTATCCTTGTAAAAAAATTTAACAAAAAGAAACTTATTTTACTAGTGATCGATCACACAATGCACCGATTGCTATACATTTTTCCATATATGTATGTAAATATGTTTATATATTATTGTTCTAGAAACCATTTAAATATGCTTTGAGACAAGCAATTGGAGCCTTATGTCAGCAGTAATGCGCCAAAATTGTATTCCCCGGCGTCAATCGTCTCGATACAACCAACAAGACAAACGACTTCCCATAACCCCCCAAAACACAGTGCAGCAATCACGTCACAGGCTCACGACGCGAGATATTGCACTCACTAAAAGTTTCCTTTAATGAATCGACTGTTTCGTTAGCTGTATAGCATATAGCGCCGTTTTGTTGGAACCAAAGATCGTTGACATCAGCATCCTCTAAATCAGACACGAAAAAGTCATCAATCAGGACTCTATAACAATCCTCTTTCGCTGCAACACTAAGGTCGACTTCATTTCTGAAGAAATGTGAACCAGCGATTCCCTCTGTCCAACAGTGGCTGTGGACTATCATCACGCACATATCCATTGCACCAAATGCGAGCTGATCGCTGAAAGAAATTTTCTTTTCTCTAGAGACGTACTTGATCTTGCATGAATTGGATCTTGTAAGCCAGCAAACCAAGATTCTTCTGCAAAATCTTCCACATGGAGATGGGCAAAGCTCCAATTATTTCGTACGAATATTGGACGCAACGTACGATGATGTACCAAACTACGATTTGCAATTCTCTATATCCAACGAAATCAACTGGTTGGAGAAGACAAACGGCTCTCGCAGATGTAGTGAAACTGAGGCAAGCTCCATAATTGTTAGAACCGACCTTCCGGGCATCAATTTTGTTGGACATAAGCTGCTGCAAATCGTCGGAGCCTAATGGCCAACAGCAGAAGACCACTCCCTCCGGAAGCAGCATATTTTTATTTGTCTTAATATCGTTTCTTTTTTATTTTTCTCGTTTTCCCAACGTTCGCATTCATGGTATTTACATTTCCCGTTCTTTCTCATTAAATATTGAATTCGTCGAGTTAATATATCGAATAAATGTCTGCGGAAATCAAAGTTTGCCCAAACTTCCACGAAACGAACGGCTGGCGTTGTGTTGAAAGCAGAATTTCCCTTTCCGTTTGCAATTATTAAAGAATAATAAAAAAAAATGCCAAAAACAACAAACAACAAATAGCATTACACACAAACGAATATAAGTTCATTTTCCCATATTAATAATGCACTGGTGCTGCACATAAATACATCAACAACTTAACCGCATCGCCTGGCACGGCTGAGCAGAGCATAGCCGCGCATGGCGATGACAGCAACAAGTTCACATTGCATTGCATTGGGTTTGACTTGAGGTTAAAGAGTGCCGTACTGCACTACCCATGCATGTATGTTCATATGTATGTGTGTGTCTAGGTGCACAGTCAGCCACAGCCAGCTTTTGATGTTTCCCGCAGAGCGATCGCGCGGCAGCAAGCAAGCAAAGGCTGTAAAGTTTTAATATGTTGCTGCCACATTGCTGGCTGACGACCTGCCAGCCAATTGCAAGTTAAGTCGACGATGAAAAAACAACAATAACAACAGGATTGTTGTTTTTCAGACACACACATACACACACACACCACATACTATTGTAGTGTGCCTTTAGTCACCGTTGTTGACAATGAAAGTGAAGTTGACATTGAGGTTGTTGCAACATGCTGAAGCCATTGTTAATAATATGTACTCGTTGTTGTTTGTATTTTGTATGCAAGCATGAGTGTGTTGCTGTTAAAAAAAAATGCGTTGATATTTACATTAATGATGACAATTATTCTCCTGCTGATTTTGTCATTTTGTCATTTTTCACATTGCACATTGTTGTTGCTGTTCTCACTATATGTAGCTACAGCCAAGCCATTATTTTTGTTCCAGACATTTATGATGGAAGTATTTGAGGTCACACACGCGAACACATGCATATTTTAACATTTTTAGTGTGGAAAGTTTGAAATTGAATGATCCAGATTTGAGAAGCTAAATTGGTTTTCGTCTAACGGCAGTCACATTTTAAGGTTATTTCATCAACCATTAAAGTGGAGGGCTCAAATTTCGTTCAACGAAAATATCTATGTGAGTCGTTTAGTTCAACCGACAATCTGTCAATTGTTGTTGTAGCGGTTCACTAACCCCGCTTAGGGACAGGTGTGATTAATCTAAGTCGCCGAGGTCATCCAATGGGAGGTTCAGGAAACGAGCTTTTTCGACAGGGTTGGACCAAAGGGAGAGGGGGGTTAGATGAGTTGGTTTGAGGGGGCATGTGAAGAGGTGGTTAGTGTCGTGCGGAGACTCTCCACATGTAGGGCATACGTTGGGTATGCAGGGGTCTAGCCTGGATAAGTAGGAGTTTAACCTGCTACATAATCCAGACCTGAGTTGTGCCCATGTAACGGGGGTCTCTCTAGGCTGCTCGAGCTCGTTGTCTGCTATGGGTGGTGATTTTTCTCCGAGCACGTCATTCACTGGAAGGGAGTCTTTGAAGGTGTTGACTGACTACTGGTGAATGGTGTTATCGGCCGATAAGACTCACCTTTTTTGGCTGGTTTCTCCGGTTTGAGTAGCGGGACCACCCTGCCCATTTTCCACACGTCGGGTATCATTAGGGTGGTCAAGGAGAAATTGACGACCTTCATGAGAAACTCTCCTCTCGCTGGTCTTTGATGTTTGAGCATCAGCATGCTTGACCATCGGGGCCCTGAACTTCCTCCCTGGAGAAATCAAGCGCCGCGCTGATGTTTGGCAGTTTGCGCATGCAACGGGTTACACGTCGCTTCGCTTTGTCTACCGAAGATTGCAATGTGAAAATTCGGCTAAAATAGCTCGCACATCTCTTCGGGTTCGACGAGGCGCGATTACCGATTGAAATTTCACGTCTCGTCGGGTTAGACAACGACTTGACTGTAGCCCAGAGCTTGGTTGCCCCAGAGGAGAGGTTGCAGGTCCTTAAGTGTTCTCCCACTTTAGCCTCCCTACAACAGATTTTTCAAATATGGTTGGGAAGATATAAAGAATTTGGCATGTCCAAGGACAGCTTTTTTTCTTCTTCATTTTTCAATTGAATATGGGACTAAACTTATACAAATCCATGTTGAAATTAATGAATTACCCTCCCCTTTTAGCCCTCTGGTTAAATTTTTTTCAATCAATCAATAGGACCATTTTCCAGCTATAAATTTCCAAAAAGAAAGTTACAAAGTCATAAAAGAAAAAATATATGCGAAGAATTGAGAACCTTGTTGTGGTAACGGCAACCCAACCTAGGAATAGGTCCAGGAGACGAGCTGTTTCGATTAACTCGAATCAAAGGGAAGGCGGATAGGTCTTAATGGGCATGCAAAGTCTGAGTAAGTAGAATTCAAGTCGACTACAATATTCATATCTTAATTAACACAGAATTGTTCGGGTTTCTCAAGACAGCTCGGGCTCTTCGGTAGCAATGGACGGTGCCTGGATTTCGAGAACACCGTGCTCTCCTCAAGAATATATTGACAGACTCTCTGTGAATGGCGTTTAAGGCCTTATAGACGTCATGATGCAAAAGGGTTCTTATATCTGGTGGCCATTTCGTCAGCAATTTTGACATACATATTTTGCACTCTGCGTTTTTTCGTTCCGTTTTAATAAGTTTAAATAAATGAATATTTTACATTTCAATAGTAAATCGAATTCTGAATAAAGCGAATCTTCATTGATTTAGCAATAAACCAACTCCTCCGGTAGTTATGTAACATATTAACTCATTTGGAGCATGGAACTGTTTGCAACAGGAGTATTAAGAACATAGAGATCAAAAAGACGTGAAGAGATTATGAACTGAATGTATATCCTACGCTCGACTTGAGTTGCCTTAGTATTTGCAACCACACTGAATTCGCCGGCCAACTTTACGCTCTCTCCACGAGATGCATCCAGTCTATGAGCCGTTTAACCCGCAGATTTCTGTGCGCAAGTAACTCCAAGGCAAACAACAAGCAGGCTACAGCCATAAGAAAGGCATACAGCAGGTATAGGCCGCTCAACATGTTGCTGCTTATGGCCGGCAGGCGTTGCAGCCGCTCATTCATTCCTTGAAACTTTTTCACAACATGCTTCTGGGCAATGTGTGACGTAATACCAGCGCCCATCAACTGTTGAATACGGTAATTGAAAATCGAACGGAGTATTGAGTGTTTTTTAAAAAACATTGAGACTTGCATAAGATAGATCGGCTCAGGGATATACGTCAAGCGGCTGGTATTCCAATTTAGTTGATTGTGCCACGTCAAGGTGTCCAACATCGAAAAAGTTGCGAAGCGTATAGACTCACTATTTTGTACAAACCGATAGCGTTCGGCAACATTTAAAACAATCAAAGTCATATTCTCCGGATAAAAATTAACATATCTGTCGGCGAGCAGAATGTATTTGTTTTCTACCAATCCGGCGATAGAGTTCGGCACAGGCATGCGCTGTGAGGTGCGCAAAGTGTCGAATAATTTTGATTGATAAGCGCTACGTAACACCAGCGTAGCTAGAAGCCATGCCATAAGTAAGAGACGTGCGGAGTTACGACGCGGTAGAACTTGCAGGGGATTTCCCATCATTGTAATAATCAAACTGGTGCAATCACTGCGTCTGGGATTGCCGATTAATTTCTCACAGGTACTCGGATTTGCGTGACGTATTACTAGCCGTATGAAAATCATGCCGCCAACACAACAAACGCCAATTGCCAACCAAACGCTTCCGCAAAAAGCTTGCGCCAATTGCTTCATGGGTCCAAAATGCAAACCTCGGCGCACGATGAATACAAACGGACTCTGATGGTAGGAAATTGAGTAGCTAAAGACATCACGTAAGCCATAGGATATGGTCAAACTACCAATAGCGACGTCTGACCTGCCGGAAGCCAACTGTAAAAGGAAAAAAATCAAAACATTTCTCTGCACATATCACCGATTATTATCGCAAACCTCTGCAAAGCAACCCGTCGAGTCATTATGTCCACCAATTGTGCTGATCTCTTCAGGTATGGAAATGTCAACCCGAAAATTCATTGCCTTTGCCAAATTCCTAAAGATATCAGCCTCAATGCCAAACAATCGGTCGAAGCCCTGTAAGTCTTTCGGATCATTACGATTCCCACGAAAGTCCAGCACCACCGGGTGAGCCACACGCAAACATAAATTTAATGTGCAACCATGAAAATTCCGCACGGGCGGCGGAAAGAGATGATCATACTGTAGATTTCCATTAGAGTAAGTGTTAATCCGCACAATACGCATGTGATGTCGATGACACTCCTCATCGAAGGGATAATAAGTATATAACCCGAAAGTGTTTCGCTCCAATTCAATCATTATGACAACATTGAAGACATCTAACCGCAAACAATTATCGAATATTTTTATCATATGCAAAGAAATAATCTCAAGCTCTGCTTTCAGCGTTAAAATGATGAAAAAGTGAAATTGATGCTCATAACTCGTTGGCGGTATATGTATGCTCAGGTTGCTACAGAAGAAAAGACAAGTGTAAAGTAGATGTCTCTCCCACACAACTCATTCTCTCTACTGAACTTACTTGAAAGCATGCTCCGAGTCCACAATAAATAAATTATAATCCCACAGCCTGTCCTCGGGTAAGCCAAAAAACAACTGTAATGCCATAGTGGGGGTGAGCTTCTTGAGAAAGTGACGCAACAGACGTGTATGCTTATTTTGCAGGCCCGTCTTACAATGCTCACAATTCTCCATAATAATGAGAGTATTGGTTTTCGGACTAATGTATCGCTCCGTCATATTGAGCGCCAGTTCAGCGTAAGGCACATGATCCGTATTCTCTTCGTCAACGAGTATGTGTAGACGTTTTTGATTATTTGGTCGAAAATCGGCCCCGGGTCGCATCATTGCCTTACTTTCGGCCAGAATAACACACATTAAAATGATAATTAAATGATTTTTGAACATTTTCAAAGTTTTAAGATTTAAGTTTAGTTTAAAAGTTGGTTTCCTTCCTTTTGTTTGTTATCCTGTTTTCCGATTTCTAAAATACCGGTTACCCACTGACTTGCACTGTTAGTTGATTGCTTTTTACGCACGATTTTATTCACTGAATTAGCGTTTTGTAAACTAATTACTTAATATCATCAGCGATAGCTTGTCATTCGGCATTAGTAATCGATTAATCGATTATCTCTTAGGTATTGTTTTCATCTAAGTGTCGAATCAATCTAAGTGTCGAATCAATTTTTAAATAAAAATAGTAATAAAGCAGAATATAATTTTACATATCTGGGTTGTCGAAACAAGTGAGGCAGACTAAGCCCGGGTGGAACCGAATAATAGATACTCGGTTGACTGGACTGGATAAACTATTCAGTGCTAGAACTATAAAAATGTTAATGCATATCTCGTACAGCTTATAGTTCCATCAGCTGCGGTATTCGCCATTCCCAAAGAGCAAAGGCTCATAGACCTCGACTTTCAACGCTGCTGAATGTAAATTTTCCGTGGCTGAGACTAAAGTGATAAGGCGAGTACGCTACATTTTTTCGCACCATTACATAGCGAGAAACTTACTTCCAGACCGATGACCGGTCGCCGCCGTATTTTTGGTGAACAGACGCAGACAATTAGACGTCGGTCAACCCTTAAGCCGAATATGTCGTAATCACTCCACGAAAGCTTCCTCTGTTTTGGGCATGACCTAAGGCTCCACTGGGGATGAGTGCATCATCTTGAACAAGGATTCCTCACGTTCCCTGTGTGTGACATTGGCGTAAACATAGGAATTGAGTGCAACTGAGACTATTACTGCAAACCCAAAAGCAAGACTTTACCACAACAAGTTTATTCAAAGTGCATACCTAACAAATTTGACTGAGTTCTGTTGGTTAATGCCTTGACTAATCAATCATTAGTCAAGGGACTTGTTACCTAAGCTTTTTGACTGAATAGTGACTGTTGCAATGCCCACACGAAATAGTTTTCCTATCTATCCCTACCGACGAACGGACAGACATACAGACATAGTTCGCCATTCCATGAAGTATGATAAATATAAATGTCCAAGAAGACTCGATTGGCGAAATCAACCCAGTATACTCTCTGTACAAAGTACAGCCGCGCATTAAAAATAGGTAAGTTTATCAAATAATTTGAATTAAGAATTTGGAAAAGGTTTGGAATATCCTAAAGAGGGTTGCCTCTTTTTATTTTGAGTTCATTGCTTTAAGAAGAATATCTTTTATAGATATTTTTGAGAGGAGCTGCTACCTCTTAAAATATATTAATATACATTTTTTTAATTTTATATAATTGACAGATCGTTGATCATTTTTAAATTGTATTATCATATCTGTTCTTCCTCTTCTTTTTCTTTGTTTATCTTAATCATACCTCAAGATATTAAAAAACTGTGTGCACTCTAATTTCATAAATTTTCAGATTTTTTCTTTTAACTTCTGTCATGCTCATTGATCCTGATGTCTTTACGAGTCATAAAGTAACTCATCTAAAACTCCCTTTCCAATAACATAACTCCCTACCCACACTCTTCTACATGTTTGGTACTAACACATGTCTTAATTAAATTAGAATTACATTAGATGGCATCAATTGCCTGGGGTTATGTAAATATTAATTGCCGACAATTGAGGTGACAACTTATCGCTGATATTAAGTAATTAATTTACATACCGCTAATTGAAAATAGTTATAAAATAGTGCGCGTTGCACAATCGGTCAACAGTGCTCTTGTGAATAACTTCAATAAAGGAAAAAAAAGTGTGAAAAATAGAAAATAAAAAATTAACGGCATTTTAGTACCTTAGAATATGTTGGTAAATAATCTAGTGGCAATATTTGTAAGCCTACTACTCACCGAAACAGAGGCAATGCCGAAACCTGGGCCCGCTCCTAGGCTGAATTACGAAGAGAGGCTAAGCATTTTTGTTGACGAAGAGAATACGGATCATGTGCCTTACGCTGAACTGGCGCTCAATATGACGGAGCGATACATTAGTCCGAAAACCAATACTCTCATTATTATGGAGAATTGTGAGCATTGCAAGACGGGCCTGCAAAATAAGCATACACGTCTGTTGCGTCACTTTCTCAAGAAGTTCACCCCCACTATGGCATTACAGTTGTTTTTTGGCTTACCCGAGGACAAGCTGTGGGATTATAATTTATTTATTGTGGACTCGGAGCATGCTTTCAAGTAAGTGCAGTAAAGAGAATGAGTTATGTGGGAGAGACATCTACTTTACACTTGTCTTTTCTTCTGTAGCAACCTGAGCATACATATACCGGTAACGAGTTATGAGCATCAATTCCACTTTTTCGTCGTTTTAACGCTCAGAGCTAGATTTGAGGTACTTCTTTTACATATGAGAAGAATATTCGAATATTGCATGCGTATGAATGTCAACAATGTTGTCATAATGACTGAATTGCAGCATAATACTTTTGGTTTTTATGCTTTTTATCCTTTCGATGAGGGCGTCTGTCGAGAAAACATGCATATTATTCGTATTAACATTTATTCGAATGCAACACTGCAGTCTGATCATCTCTTTGCGCCACAAGAGCGAAATCTTCATGGTTGCTCGTTGAATGTATGCCTACGTTTAGGATATCCCTATTTGGGTTTCCATGGAAACCAAAGTGATTCGCAGCAGTTGCAAGACGTTCAACGGTTGTCCGGTATTGAAGCTGATCTACTTAAAAACCTGGTATTGGCTTTGAACTTCAGCGTGAATATATCTATTCCCGAAGAGAAAAGTTTGATTGGCAGGCATAATAACTCAACGGGTTGCTTTGCAGAGGCAAGAATTGACAAATGAATTAGCGGCAACCTCTGCAACTTAATTTAACTTTCATTTTTTACAGTTGGCTTCTGGTAGGTCGGATGTCGCTATCGGTTGCATGAGTATTTCTGATGGTTCACGTGATGTATTCAGCTATTCAACCACCTACCACCAAAGTCACTTTGTATTTATCGTGCGCCGAGGTTTACATTTTAGTCCCATTAAGCAGTTGGCACAAGCTTTTTGTGGAAGTGTTTGGCTCGCAATTGCAGTTTGTTGTATTGGCGGCTTGATTTTTATAAGGCTTATAATTAGTCACACAAATCCGAGTACCTGTGAGAAATTAGTTGGAAACCCCAAGCGCAGTGATTGCACCAATTTGATTATTACAATGATGGGAAATCCCCTCCAAGTCCTACCGCGCCGTAATTCCGCACGTATGTTACTCATGACTTGGCTTTTGACTACGCTGGTGTTACGAAACGCCTACCAAGCAAAATTGTTTGACACTTTGCGCACCTCTAAGCGCCTGTGTGTGCCACACACCATTGCCGGTCTTGAAGACAAAAGTTATATTCTCCTCGCCGACAATTATGTAGAATTTTATCCGCAAAATATGACTCAGATCGTTTCGAATACTACACGACGCTATCGTATTGTACAGAATAGTGAGTCCACACGCTACACAACTTTCTCCATGCTAGACACCTTGGGTTGGCACAATCGCCAAAATTGGAATACCAGCCGTTTGACGTATGTGCCTGAGCCGATCTATCTCATACAACTTTCGGTGTTTTTCAAAAAACATTCAATTCTTCGTTCACTCTTCGATCACCGCATTAAACAGCTGATGGGGGCTGGTATTACGTCACACATTTACAGGAAACATGTTGCAAAACATTTCCAAATGATGAACGAAAGCTCTCAACGCATGCCAGTTATTAGCAGCAATATGCTGAAGGGTCTCTACTTGATGTACGCTTTTCTTATGGCAACGGCTTGCACTTTGTTTGGGTTGGAACTACTCGCAAGGAATTGTTTGTGGGTTAAGCGTTTCATGGACTGGATGCATCTCATCAAAAGAGAGTAATAATATACAATTCAAAATTTTTTTAAAAGATTAGATAAAAAATAAAAACAATAATAAAAAAATTTAATTATATTAAATTAAATGAAATTTAATTAAATTAAATTAAATGAAATTTAATTAAATTAAAACAAGCTAAATTTTATATTGTAAATTAAAAGAAAATAAAATAGTCTGAAATAAAATAAAATAAAAAATTAAAAATAATATTAAGAAAAATTAAATAAAAATAAAAAATAAAATGAAATGCAGTAAAGTAAAAAAAAAATTAAATGTTTTGAAATCGGATAAAATGAAATTAATTAAAATAAAACAAAATAAAATAAAATAAAATAAATAACATTAAATTAAATTAAATTATATTAAATTAAATTAAATTAAATTAAATTAAATTAAGTAAAGTAAAATGAAATAAAATAAATTAAAACTAAATAAAAATAAGAGAAATATATTGCAATTGAATAAAATGAAAAAAATTTAAAACCAGATAAAATTAAATAAAATACAAAATAAGAAATTAAATTAATAAAAAGTTTTCTTTTATATATTGGTTGTCCAATATCTCCCTTCCGCTTTTTTGTTTTTGAATTTCGCGGCTATGTACAAAGCGCATAATTTGAAAGGTATTGACATAACCTACAAAACAACACTATGCATGATTAGTTTGGATATTGCGTTCAACAGTTATAGACGTGTAAACATGGAGTTCACTAACGCCGAAATTCGCGCTAATTTAAAGTTTTCCTTCGTTAAAGGCAAATCCGCCAGAGAAACGTTCCGTGAGATTAATGGTGTTTTGGGGGATGGTACTCTAGCACTTCGAACCGCGGAGGAATGGTTTTGACGATTCAGAGCCGGTGAAAACGACACCATGGATAAGTCAGCCGGCGGAAGACCTGTGACGACAAATACCGATCAAATCATGGAATACATCGAGTTAGACCTGCATATGGCATCTCGTGACATGGTCCAGGAGATGGGCTTTAGTCACTAAACCATTTTGAAGCATCTGCAGAAGGCTGGATACAAAAAAAAGTTTGATGTTTGGGTGCCGCATAATTTGACGCAAAAAAACCTTCTGGATCGAATCAACGCCTGCGATATCCTGCTGAAACGGAACGAACTTGACCCATTCTTGAAGCGGATGGTGACTGGTGACGAAAAATGGATCACATACGACAATATCAAGCGAAAACGGTCGTGGTCGAAGGCCGGTGAATCGTCCCAAACAGTGGCCAAGCCGGGATAGACGGCCAGGAAGGTTTTGCTGTGTGTTTGGTGGGATTGTAAGGGAATCATCCACTATGAGCTGCTCCCATATGGCCAGACGCTTAATTCTACCATCTACTGCGAACAACTGAACCGCTTGAAGCAGGCGATCGACCAGAAGCGTCCATAAATAGGAAGGGTGTAGTGTTCCACCAGGACAACGCCAGACCACACACTTCGTTGATGACTCGTCAGAAGCTACGGGAGCTCGGATGGGAGGATTTATCGCATCCACCATATAGCCCGGACGAAGCGCCAAGTGTTTACCACCTGTTCCTGTCCATGGCGAGTGCCCTTGGTGGTGTGAAGTTGAACTCACAAGAGGCTTGTGAAAAGTGGTTGTCTGAATTCTTCGCAAATAAGGAGGGGGGGCTTCTACGAGGAAGGTATTATGAAGTTGCCGTCTCGATGGAAACAGATCATCGAACAAAACGGCGCATATTTTAACTAAATCCGATCACTGTAACACTTTTTATAAAGCATTGAATGAAGAGCAAAAAAGCGGAAGGGAGATATTTGACAACCTTATATATGCAAATATATTAACATAACAATTTATTTATTATATTAACATATTAGGTGTATGCATTAATTCGTGCGGTTTTCTAAGAGAGGGCTCTACTTGTATTATTTCACGCCGTTTTCGTTTGTGGCTATACTCATTTCAAAGGTACTGTCATTTCGCATCGTTTTCAGTAGATGTCACTTGTTTTAGCGTGAATAAAAAATTGTTTCATTCATTTGAAAATGTCGAAATTTCTACCAGATAAAGTGTTTTGGGGGGAGCTCTTCTTCATTATTTTAACATGAAGAAAAGTGCTACCGAAAGCCATCGTATTTCACTGGACGTTTATGGTGACCCTGCTTTAGCCGAACGAACGCGCCAAAAGTGGTTTGCACGGTTTAAAAGTGCCAATTTTGACTTAGACGACGGGCAGCCAAAAATATTTCAAGACGAAGAATTGGAGACATTGCTCGACGCAGATGCATGCCAGACGCAAGAAGAACTTGCAAAAGCATTAGGAGTTGATTAAGCAACCATTTCCAGATGATTAAAATTACTTTTTTCACAATGATGTCTTAATTTTCGAAAAAAAACCACACGAATTAATGCATACACCCAATATCTGATATAAAAAGATATCCAACTACACATCTTATTTGGCATATTGTGAACTTCCCAACAGATGAAAATCTAGGACACACATAAAAGAATCGAAAACAATTCAAACAATAATTAATTAATTAAAATGGCGAAACGTGTTTGAAATTTAAAAGTATTTTCATAATTTTGTGTTCGTTATATTCAATTATTTTTCACAAATTTCACATATCTCTGCATTTCTACGTAGTGTTGCAGTTTCTGCTTACCCGCAATGCGTTTTATCTTTCATTTCTTCCTTTTTTACGTTTTTCTAACTTTTTCCTTCTCACTTAAAATTTTTTTCAATCTCTACGCTTAAGAGAACTTCAACTCGTTTCACATACTTCTTTTAAACAAACAAATAAACGTGCGTGAGTATATATGTATAGGTTTGTACATACGAAGAAATGCTTCCCTGTGGACGCTACTTTTAGCCAACAGCAAAAAATGCGTATTTTCCGAATGCAAAACTTAATCCGACAGCAACAACGAATGCAACAATGTGCTGTTCTGGCCAAACAAATGTACAAATAACTTGAAAAAAACAAACACTCACACACACTCACACACTCTAGGGGCAGACACACCGCAAGGATATAAAACACCTGCAGTTGGCATGGTAAATGTTGACATGCAGGTGGAAGCGTGTGGGTAAGTGTAAATTCCAATGTAGGTGCAAGTGTGTTTATTTATATGCTGTGTGTGGGTGTGTGGGTGTGTGTGTGTGTGTGTGTGTATGTCTCTCTGGAAAAAGCTGTGAAGAACTTTTGCAAACAATAATGACATTCACTTGGCTTATCACTGCCACTTGGTTGATCTTTAACAAATCCACACTTCAAACACTTTCAACACATCCAACACTCTCCCGCTGACATTTAGCTCACTTTTCCACACGAGCTCTAACGGTATTTTATTTTGATCTCAACTCTTTTAGCTTTAGTTTGTTACCGGCTGGCTTGCTTGCTTGCCTTTGTTTTCGCCACAATAATTCTAACCTGAAGTTGCGGGTTTTGTGGCTTGAAAAATAAAAAAAGGTTCAACCAGCATAAAACAAAAACAAAAAGAAACGTACAAAAAGCACAAAACCAAAGTTGCACTTCAGTTGCACAAGTTTTGCTTGCCTGTGTGTGTGTGTGTGTGTGTGTGTGTACGTATGTTCGGCTGAATGCAAGTATGAGTAAGTGTGCGTTTGTTTGCATATTCGAAATAGTTAAATTATGAAAAACACGAACGGTATAAACGGCCAACGGCGGCAACAACTACAACACATATCACATATCCGGAGGCAAAAAGAAGAGCAAAAATTAAACTCACACAGGCGCCACATATTTACAGGTATGTACATATGAAATTGTCTAAATGGGATTACATAAGCAAAAACAAACGAACGCATTCGTACGAGTATATGTAAACATGTAGATATGTATAAATTTGCAAAACTCCAGTATTTGGCGCTGTGTGTGTGGGTGTGTATGTGGGTGTGTGCGTGAAAATTTTACCGTCATTCAACCTACCTCTGCGCACTCAGTCGAAAACAAAAGAAAAGTTTTCGCACTAATTTTTGCGGTTGTAACTGCTATTTTTGAGGCAGCGAATAGTCAGACAATCACTAACTGTGTGCGTGTGATGTGAGGTTTAGGGGGTGGACATGGCGTATGAGCAATTTGGTATTTCGGTTGGCCGCAAAGAGTTTGTTGAGTGAAATCAATCTGTGATTATTTGTAATATAATCGCTTCACCTCAATGCTAAAGGCGATTTTTTCTATAAGCACAAAAAAATAATTACACCGTAATTACTGCAGCTCCTTCAAATTCGATTTATTTTAAGATATATTGTACAAAATTTAAATAAACCGGCCGACCTAGAAGTGAGCAATGTGTACTGTTGATTCGAACACTGGCTAGAGCAACATTCATAATTATATAGAAAATTAGTTTTTCTAATTGCGGTCGCCCCTCGACAGGGAAAGCATGACGATTGTAAGCCACGTCGTCATATTATTACTCTTCTGGGCCATCTCCTCTCTTTATGAAATCTATCGCGGCCCCCTTAACCTCTTGATCGAACCACGTGGTTTATGGAAGCTCTCTTGGGTGCTTGTATGAGAAAAGTCAGGAGTTGTGGAGAGGAGCGGTCTGTAATATTCGCCGTCACCTATATGCAAAGGACCTCAAATCTTCCACAGAACTTATCTCTCGAAAATTCGTAATATCGACTTATCGAATGTTGTTAAAGTCTGGGCCTCAGCCGGACATGGTAAAATACAAACGATTAGCGATAAGTTGACCTTGGTCTTTGTTTGTCTAAAGAGGACTTTACTGTCATCTTCTCAGCTTAGTACTGTAATTCTTATTTTCTCCAGTTTCAAGTAGAAGAAGTCACATGAAAGAGAACCGCTTTGATTAAAATCTCTTGTCGTGACATTTGATTCTCACCGGTGCTATTTAGGGTCAGTTTATTAAACCAAATTCATACGAGGTGGCAGCTTCTTTTCATTCCATTGAAGCCCGCTTTAGAATCGTCTACCTTCTCACTGGTATTTTCCTGGACTTGGAGTTGAGCATGAGTCGTAAAGAGCAGGCCATAGAA